GATTTAATTGACTGCTCTTCTGAAAAAAAAAAAAAATCTGAGTTTTTGAAGGTTTGTGTAGGACAATGAAACCCCAAACCAGTACGTATTTACATTACTGTATCTTGCACAGCCATGTTGCAGCTAACTCTTAAGGGGCTGCCTATAGTATATAGATTTCATTTTTCCCTTGCAAGGCACGTCAAAGATGAGGCAGAAACTACCACCTGCTCTAGTGTTTTAGTGGTTTTGTTTTGTTCTGGTTTGGGTTTGTTTCGGTTTGGTTTTTGTGTGTGGTTCTTTGTTTGGTTTTTTAATTGGTGTTGTGTTGTTTGTTTTTTTTTTTTTAATATCAACTAAGAAAATCTCTAGTGATCTTAGAGTTTCATTTGTACAGTGAGTAGGAGGTCCAAATTCCATCTGATATTTTATATCATCACATTTTTGAGGAGTTGTATGTATATGCTTGAGGTTACACAGAACTTTGTACAGATACCTTTTCAAGCCTAAGGCACTTGTTAGAACAGTACTTGTCTTATATTTTTACACACTAGTGTTTCAGCTTTCATATTAATTTGAAAAAGACATAATTTGGCTTGTCAGGCAGTCTAACAACCTGGGTGTATATGGGTATCTGGTATGTCAACAGCATGCAATCTTATTTAATATAGAATGTAATGATCTTTCTTCTTTATTTTCAGGTATGTAAAATCAATTTTTGGCACTGTGCTTGCCTGTGGGTGTCCTCTGAAGGATAAGTGACATCAATCCCTGAGAACTGCTGCCCTTGTCTGGTAACTTTGCTCCCCAAGATACCTTCTGCACGTAACCTTTTTAAACTCCTACAAATATTTAACTGTGGCAATACCAATTATGTTGCAGCAGATGGAATAAGATAATATTTAAATGTTACAGCTGTATTTTGCTTTAAAATATAGTTTAAATTGTAATTTAAAGTTGCTTTTATGCAAATATATTTGTAATTTTATATAGTTGAGAACTTTAATGCTTTTTTCCATGATAATATATTTTTATATGCAAATAAATTCTGAACTGGAATCCGGATGTCTGGAAGCTTCCTATGTACATGACAACTCTGAAACATAAGTACAAATTAAACTCTTATTGAAAACAACATGCTTTAAAATATCTCGATAAAGGTGTATTTCCTGACTGGCAAAATTTGTTATGCTGGTTTTATGATTGCTTAAATAAGAGGATTTTGTACTATGTAAAATTAATGCAATTGGAAAAATAATAAAATTGGTCAAACTGTTTCCTCAGATTTGCTTTAATACAAATCAGTTACAGTGAGGTGTTAGAGATTTGGACAGTAACACCTATTTTAAACCTTATATAAAAGCTAGCTTTAAAATTGTGGACCCTTTGACATAAAGGACTAGTTAGGAGGTCAGTTGTTTGGCTCATCAATTTGAAGATATGGAGGTCCTATAGCACCAAGAAAATAGTTTCTGATACCAGACCCTTGGGTCCAGAACAGTCAAGCACTCTAAAAAGACTTCCTGGACATGAGTATTCTGCTGTGAAAGAGGGATGGTTAACTTGGATTTTAACAAGAAACTGATTCTTTCCGTATGCATTAGACACTTGAGATGTCATTGTGACCTCTCATCCAGCTGCTGCAGGCTTTACACCTGGCTCTGCCATCTGAGCTGTGCATACAGTTGCTTTCCAGTCTGCTCAGACCACATGAGCTGGGCTCTTTTCAACTCCAGCTCTTACTTTGACCAAAGCAGTCTCATGACCAGTTGCATAAGTGGTTCAGTTATTGTGCCCCCTTGGTCTGTTATCTTTGCATGTACCTGGAGTGTGTATGTACCTGTGGCACAGCTTAGGGGACTTTAAAGGATAGATTTGGGACTGCCGTCTGCACCTTGGAGAAAACCTACTGTGTATTTATTTCCTAATGGGAATGCTGTAAGAATGGTGCAGATCCATCTCCTTGGTTTTCAGATTTCCTAAAATTTGATGAAAACACTTGGGTTTATTAAATACCATATGATTTTTTTCTATTTTATTCATTGGTAAGAAAGAAATTCTGAACTTGGTACATCTTAATCTGTCTGAAATAACTTTAAGGTAGCTGTGTGGGTTTTTTCCTTCTTTCAGGTAGAAGAGCAATGTCAAGTGGAGGCGTGTGGTGGAGTGTGTTTTTTGAGGACTAAAAACTCCCTTTAGCATTTCCTGCTTCAGATTCCATTGGTAAATTGTCCCTTAGAATAGAAGTAGAGTAAACTGAAGGTTCGTGTTTGTGTAGGTTAACGATCAGATCTGTGAAGGAAGGTAGGATGACTCAGGTTTGAGATAGTGATGTGCTTTTTGCTTGCTCTGGGCCCTTCTCGTAGGCTTCTGCATTGCAGGGAACTCACTATTTAGAAGTGGAAATTCACTGCTGTTACACTGTAAACTCACAGAAGCAAATATTCCTTTTTACTGCCTCTGTGGAACTGACAGGGGAGCCTGGCCTTCCTCCCCCATCCCAGAGTTGATGGGATGTGTTGCTGTGCAAAGCCAGCACGGGGGATTCCTCTGGCTAGTGTAGGACTTGCTGCTAAATGTGGACACGCTGCGCCTTTCAGGAGGAGTGGAGGGAAGGGGAACCAGGACAGCAGAGACAAGCTTGTGCTTTTCTTTTAAGAAACATTATTTGCATAAGGCATGTTTTTTTAAAGCTGCTTGAATAGCAACAGCAGTTTTGGCTGGTTTTCTACATTTTAATACTTGTTGTTAGCATGAACAGTGGTGAGTGGTGCATGATACCATCCTGAAGGCAGAGTACCCTGACTTTGTGTGCGTTAAGCAAACCATGAGTCTCAGAGGAGGCCACTTGAGGTGATCATGTGGAGAGGGTAAATGGACAGGTGTTTGCACCTCTGTTCCTTAGGTTGGATTGTTTGAGGCATTGGGCATGAGTTTTCCACTTAATTTGTTCATGTTTCTCATGTTGCTTGATCCTGTTGAATACCCTGTGCCTGTAATCAGTATTGAAAGTTGGATATTTCCCTTTATTGAGTGAAATTACTAAATTAGAACAGTACTTTGGAATGGCAGTACTTTGTCCTTACAGACACACAAATTTGAAGATTTTTCCTTTCCAACCAAAGGTTTAAAGCAAGGCGTGTTTCTCATTTTGTCTACTGTCAGTTGGTGGTGGAGTTGAGGATTAAGTCACCATCTGCTTGGGTTTTTTAATCTTATTTGTGCATGAACAGGTGGAGACTTCTTGCTTATACAGCAGTTCAGGAGATCATCGACTGCAAAATCTGGGAGTGTCTTTTGTGGAGCTATTTATCTGAATTCCCTCCAGTTTATGTTCAGTTTTGAACATCTTGCTGTGTCAGAAGAAAGGCACTAATGTAGATGTCATTTCGCTGGAGTATGCTTATGATTTAAGTTCATCATCTGATTACATATGGCCCTGAAAAATGCATTACTGGAAAAAGTTTCTGCAACACTATCCCCACTGAACATTGCTGGAGACTGCATTGTCCTAATGGGCATGGCTGACTTTTTAATCCTTATTTTGACCTCAGTCTTGTGCTGTAATGCTGAATTTGAATTCAGAAAGTCTCAGCACTTGTCGTGCCAATGCCACGCACCCAGAAATGGAAACGAGCAGCTTGGACTAAGCAGATGTATTGCCACAGCTTAAGGTGTGTGAGCTGAGGTGCAACGATTACCTGCACGTATGCTTCTTTACCTACTGCAAATTCCAGGTTAATTGGATTAGTTGAAATGTCCATCACTGAGGCTTGAGTCAATGTATCTTATCTTGGGTTTGCTATTAACTGTGTGTGTCCTTGGTGCCATCACCCAGGCTCAGCTGATATGTAGTAACACATTATGCCTGGTAACCTTAATAAGGCAGAGAGACGAGACAAAGGAGGAATTTGTTTTTTTCCTGGCTGCACGTGCTTCTATAGCGACTCTTGATGCACAGGTAGACAGGTGAGTTTTTGGGAGGGAGGAAAACTGCTGCATTGGCAGAGACAGAACTTCCTTATAGAGAAGGGCTCAACACCTATTGGCTCCCACGGCCTCTTGTCCTGGTGCCTCCTCCCCTTTCTTTGTTACTGTTATGAACTTTTCAGTACACCCAGCATGAGTCTCTAGAGGAGCTCTGGATATCGACTCAGGTGGATCCAGCTGACTATCCAGGTGTTATCTGCACCCCACTGAAGCCCATCTTCAGTGAGACTTTGTTTATCTGAAGGTGTCTACATGTGTTAGACATGACATCTGCTAGACTGTTGGAAGGAAACTTCCAAAATTGTGGTGTTTGGAAGCAAAGCCAATATGACTGCAGCAACTCTTGAATTTAATCCAGCTCTGCATACTAACAGCATGAACTCCATATTCTCAATGGGAGAATGTTTTCTCTATGTTACTTTCTACATTCCTGACTTCACTGCAGTCTGGCTAACAGCTCGAGCTGTCTAAATAACTTCACAAAAATGTAAGATGATCCTGGCTGCTATATCTCATTAGCTTAGACTTGTAAACCAGATCCTTTCAAGGTCCTTTTCTTTCTTACAGGTTCAAAGCTGCCAGTTAAATGCTGTAGATTGACCTGTGGGATTAAAATAGGCCTGTCAATAAAAAGGGACCTGAGTGTTTTGGTTGTTTCTGCTCTTTCACTCCTACGTTTTGAAAACTAAAATGTGTATCAGTTCAGCTTTTTAAAAACTACAGACTGGATGTCTGTGCCTCCATTCTCCCAAGGTATCAGAGCTCATTGGCTTCTTTGGGAGACCTCAGGATACTTAAATGGGCTTCGGCCTGGAAGTGAATGTTGCCTTCCCCAGAGTGCATGGCTGTAACACTGATTACTGTCCTTCGGTTCTGTTCATATAATGTATTTCAGATGAGTGTGTTTAATTAAAAACATTGCCCTTGTCTCAAAATAACCACTTGCAGTGTTTTGATACATATTCAGTCTTCACAGTTCCAATGAAAAAAAAATCCTGCCAGTGTATCAAATCAGGTCAGGGTCAATTTCACCTGATTTAGGCACTTACATAAAACACTGAATTTCGGATGTTGCCCTTGGCTCCTTCGTTAGCCATCAGGAAGGAGTGGGAGGTTGAATTATCCCCTAATGATGGTCCTTTGCTACAGCAAACATTCTAAAAGAGTACAGTTAAGCAGATTTTGCACTTGGGCTTCTTAATTCACTGAAGAAAGAGAAGTGTACGTGTCAAAATTACCCTGCCTACAAGGGGCCTTAGAATGTAGCAGCTTGTGGGGCCAGAAGAGCAGAGGGAAAATGACCCAGCTGCCCAGGGTTACTTGTGTTTGAGGCTTTGCATCACGGTGTGCAAGCACGGGAGCTTGCTTCAGCCCTTGGATTTGGGGGATGGCGCTGCTGGGCCGTGCAGGTAAGTGCTGGGACCACAGCCTGGGCACTGAGCCCACGTGAGATGTCACAGGATAAACCCACAGGAACTATGTGGTATGAAGCAGAGTTGCCAGAACAAGCTTGAGGAGAAGTGTACCTCACTATTGCCACTGCACTGCCTGCTGATTCCCTGTGTCAGGCAAGGTGGGAAGCTCCAATCACCTCACTGGGCAGAACCAAGGAAATAACGAGGAGTCTCAGGTTGGTGCTTGAATCTCACAGTGCTGACCTCCAGACATTTGCCCTTTACGCACCCTCAGAACACACTCTCTCTCATCTTGCACTGCTCTTTGCCTTTACTCTGCATCCACACCCCACCCCATGCTCAAAGTCAGGTCAGCTGTGCTTGTGTAACAGGATGTCTGGAGACTTTGTTGTTTGTTCGATGGCGTTTGTTTGTTTGTTTTTTAAATATTCTAGGGTGATGCCAGTGACTATCTCAGCTGCACACAGTTTCTAGGTTAATTATCCATAATATGTGGCTTAACGGTTGAGGACTGAATGGGTGCTACTGAGGTCCGTGGCAAAATTTGCAGGTGGGCTGGGATTTAACTGTGTCAGTGTGTGGCTGGGCTGATGGCTCCATCAGCTCTCTCTCACCAAGTCTTACAGATTTGGTGTTATGTCAGCTTTCTTGTGCCAAAAATAGGAATTTCTGAACCCTATTTGAAACATCCAAGGAGACTTTTAGCTTAATATCTCGGTTAAAACTGAGTGAATGGTTGTGCTGTTCCCTGCTTTTTCTCCATCTCTCTGAGAAGCAGAGGGGTTCAGGAGGGTGTCCCCCCCCCGTGGGACTTGGCAGCAGGGTTGTGCTAAGACCTTATACCCACAAATATTTTGCACTTTCAAGCTGTGACTTCAGTGGACTCTCATGCAGAGTTAAGGCTCTGATCTTGGCAATCTGTCTCCACAGACTGGTTCTCAAGGCTGTGTATAGTTTAGTAGCTTTATGCTCTTGGAAAACTGATTTACAGTAAAAAAAACCAACAGTAGCTTTATGTTTGTTTATGTGTAGAATGTATGACGTGAAATAAAATACATGGGTTTTTTAGGGGCCAAACAGAACAGCTCAGCTCTCAGTCATCAAATAGCATCCCACATAATTTATTTTGTTGACAGCTGGTACAATGCACTGCTAATACAACAGTAGTTACTTCACATTAGCAGCTATACATTGGCTGTCTCAAAGCACTTTGGCATGCTCTGATAACTACCATTTTAAAGCACAGGGCAGATCTTTCCAGCATGCAGCAGCCCTAACTTAGAGACAGAGGTAAAGTGTGGTGCTTGGTTGGAGGAGGCTCGTCATGTCCATCAGCAGTGCAAAGCATATATTACATGTTGAGTTTAGCACTGGGGCCTCTTGCTCACAGCACTTCATCTTTAAATAATTTTATAGGAAATGTCTTGCTGTAACAAGTGCCTCTGATGTTCCTGAACCCTTGTTGAACAAAATTAAGTGAAGCAACTTGGTGGGGGTTTTTCTGAGCTTGCTACTGGGTAGCACAGGGTAGCCAGGTACTACAGGGTAACTCCAGCCCCTGTTGGTTGTATAGGAAAGTTAGTATCCCTGTTTCATGTTATCAATAATGTGTTTCATCAGGGACTGTGCATTTCTTTTCACCTGCACCACTCAAGAAGGTATAAAGAAACACACGGCCTTGATGAAATGCATTACTGAAATGCATCTTCCCCAACCCAGAAGGTAGCTCTTAACACAAAATGCTGTCCCATGAACTCTTCTTTTCCCTGTACTTCCTTTTGTACCTAGCAAAAATGCTCCTTACAGTTCCCCTTTCTCAAATTGGAACAAAAGATGAGCATCACAACTTGTCTGATAGCTGGTCTATCTGTGAAAAGGCAAGACTTCTTTTCTTCCTTCACCCCCTTTTGTGGCTCAACATTCACATGGTCTTCCGTGAGAAAGAGCTGCAGGAGACATGAGCCCCTTGCCTGTAGCCTCAGAGGCAGAAAGCAGGCAGAGCCAGAGCCAACCTAAATTAAATCCTGCTCATCTTTCCAGGATTTTAAATCTCCTGTATCTTAGCTGGCCCCATCTCTCTCAGTTATGGAACCATAGGAAAAGTGTAGGAGTAAATGTGCGTAGGTAACGAACATTTAGACTCCTGTTTCCTGAACTCTGGCCTTCCACAGCATCATCATTGCCTTGCTGTGTAATAAGGGACAGCAGCTCCCTCATCACATCCCTCCTTCGTGCCCAAATGGGGCTCTGGGATGACCGTGCTCGTGTCCCCTGCTGGCCTGTCTGGCTCAGCTGCAACCTTGCACATGCCTTGGCTATGCTAGAGGCAGCAAGCAATGAAAGACAATAAAATAAGAAAGGGGCTTTATGTGTAAGGTTTTCTGAGATCCAATTTCACACTTTCTCTCCCAGCTCATGTAGTTTCCCCTGTCTATTTAGCAGGGTGTTTTAACACCAGGATTTTAAATTAGTGTTCTTTCACGCCGATGAGAAAACGTTTAGGTTTACACTTGGCTCTTGTGTTAGAGGGACGAAATCTTGGCAAGTTCACTTGTGCATGCTTTGTTCAGCACACTAGATAAAAATCTAAGGTTTTGCCATCACAGAACTTGAGCTGTGGAAAGATAAATTCAGGAGCCGCTCTAACTGGTTAATATTTTAAAGTTCATGTGTAAATTAACAATAACTTCTAGTGATTTACTCATGTTTGATACAAGAATCCCTTCATCTTCACTAAATGCTGTTTTTATGTTTCTGGGTAGCAGAATTTGATAGCCAGACTGAAAAATATTATTTTGGTTACACATAACACTGGCTTCATAATGAGTGTAGATGTGCCGTCTACTCTCTGATTCCTTATGACACACTGGAGGGAAGGAATGCCACCCAGAGGTACCTTGACAGGCTCAATACCTAGGCCTGTGTGAATCCCATGAAGTTCAACAAAGCCAAGTGCAAGATGCTGCACCTGGGTCAGGGCAGTCCCAAGAACAAATACAGGTTGGGCAGAGAAAGGATTGAGAGCAATCCTGAGGAGAAGGATTTGGGGGTATCGGTGGACAAGAAGCTCCACCAGAGCCAGCAAAGTACTCTCCTAGTCCAGAAATCCAACCTCATCCTGGGCTGCATCAAAATCAGCATGGCCAGCAGGTCCAGGAAGGTGATTCTGTCCCTCTACTCTGCTCGTGAGACCCCACTATAAGAACATAGACCCTCCCCCATGAAGACAAGCTGAGAGAGTTGGGGCTGTTAAGCCTGGAGAAGGCTCTGGGGAGACCTTACAGCAGCCTTCCAGTACCTGAAAGGAGCTACAAGAGAGCTGGGAAGCGACTTTTTAGCAGGGCGTGTAGTGATAGGTCAAGGGGGAATGGCTTTAAACTGAACAGGTCACTTTTTAAGAAAAGACCCAATTCTGGAAAAACTCATTGGTGGCTGCAATAATGCCACCCTCTCTCTTTTTTTTTTTTTTTTTTTTTTCAGCGGTGAAGTGTCGGATTATGTCTGTTGAACATCTGCATTTAGCAGCACATTTCAGTTCTGCCTCACCCTCAGGTGAAAAGCCTTGCTAGAGTGCATTAAAATCACACTTCCCCACAGACCTTGGAGCAGATATCTGTGAAAAATCTGCTCATGTTCAGATGCCACCATCCATCAAGCCTGAAGATGAGAATCAAAGCATTGCAGATGGTTCAGAGTGGGCATAGGAGTGTGATGGCCCTGAGCAGAGTGTGAGCATGTGAGGGTGTAGGACGTATTTTTTAAATATTCATTGCACCCAAAAGCATTCACAAAAAAACACCCAAAAAGCTTCACAAGAACTGTGTGGCAGGGAAAAACCCCTACTTTTCTTCCCAGATCATTAAATTCTCCTGTTGTCCTTACGCATGCACCTAAAGAGAGACAGATTTTACCCTTATTGGGCTCTTGGTTTCACTTAAACCCTTAGGGAAAAAAATTTCCAACATTGTCAGCAGCTCAGTTTTCATCTCTGGGAAGATTTTCTCCTACATGGATTTCTACAATTAAGAGCACTGACACATAGTTCATTGAATTCGATATCTGTTGTTGGGTTTTTTCTTTTCTTTGTGATTAAGTAGTTTAACTTCAGAGAATGGGCCCTGGGTGTGTGTGCTACTTTATTTATCCCTATCAGGGATGGGGGTGGAGGAGAAGGGAACAAGCGCCCGAACAGTAGGCAATCTTGACTGGAAAACACTTAAATATTTAAAATGTCAGATTGGTTTTAGTGTTTCTTTAATATGATACATTAATTTTTGGAGTCTGTGGACTCCTGTTTAAGACTAAAACAGTCTTTTCTCACAGTGATGGCTGGACCATCTGCCACTCTTCCCTAGTCCTCATGACTAAGTGGCTGAATAAAGAGGAGCCATTTAGCTATCCTCAGCATCTGCCAGCTGTGCTTTCCCAGTGACCTTTCAAAAAACTGACTTCTTTTTGACTAAAAATGAATTTCATATTGCCAAGCCAAAAAGGCAGACTTCCCTATGCATTTTGAATACCATCTTTGTTTTGAAATGTCCCCTGGCGTTCATGTAACAAAAGCCTGACATTAAAAATAAAAGGTGTTTTAAATTAATTCTGAGTATTAGCTGATACTCAAAATACAATAGGACAGCCAGCGCCTATGCTTATCTTGTGACATGCTATCCTTAACACCTCATGCAATGAAGAGAAGGGAGAATAAAACCACTCAAACATTTCTGGAAACCTCTCTTTAAGCTACGTTGTTTTTTATGCAATGCATTTTCACCTTCAGAGTGCCTCTGTTTCAAACTATTTCCCTGTAATGACCCATCTATACTTCCGACTGAAAAATTTTCTGGCGACTCTTATTTCTGAGGCTTCTTCTCCCATTCTGCACCGGGGGGAGCATTTTGTGTGGTGAAGACCATATCCAAAATGGGAAACAGACTCTGAATTGAGTCGGTCCCTCCTCCCTTTGGGGTTTGGCATGCATGGATATGCATATACATAAAAGCTTGGCCTGAAAAAGGAGAACTCAATAGCAGAGGTGAAGCTGCAGAAGCAGGGAAAGGGATTTTAAGGGTGCCAGCTGTGATGGTTTGCTTTCTCAGCTTCTGACATACAACAGAGTTCTCTGAAGAGCTTTCAGAGGCAGAGTTACACAAGCTGCTGTGTCTGCATGCAATACTGTGCTAACAGACTGGAAACTGGGATCCCAAAAGTGTAATTCCTGCTTTATATCTGTACATTAAAATGCATTTGCAATACGTGTCTGTTAAATCACTCTTATAATTTTGAATGTTTCGTCTACAGTTAACAGACCATTTCTTAAAGCCAACCCAATTCCGTTGCATCTTTTGAAAGTAATCAATAATTTTTCCTATTTTTCATGAGAGCCAAATGGCAAGATGACAGACCTGCCAGCCTTGCAAATGTTGATTATTTTATCAAGAAGGAGCACTACGATATGGTAGCAACATGTGTCTGCAAACTGACCATGCTAAAGGGAGAAGGCAGGGTAACCAACCTCTCTTAGCTTTGCTCAGAGAAGGGCTCAGCCTCTCATTTTGCTTATTTTTTGGCTTTTCTCCAACTCCTATGTTGTTTAACTTTCATTTTTCCCCATAATCAGACTGATATCATAAGGATTTGCATGGAAACTGATGCCCTCAGCTCATCTCAGAGCCAGCATAACAAGAGTCTCCTGCTCCTAATGGAAAAAAAAAAGATGTAAAATCTCTAGACAGCACCAGTTTACGTGGTGAGTGATTTGCTAGCCTATATGCAGAGCCTATTGTGATGCCTTCTTCTAATTTAATGAATCCCAGAGAGAATTAGAAAAAAGTATATATTTATGTGAAATGTGCATGTATACGTTCATCAGGTCGGTGTTTCTGTGTGGTTTCTGTTTGCAACCCCTGTGGGACTTTGCTTCTGTTGCCTGGGCTGTGTGAACGAAAGACCCCCAGGATTCTGGGTTTTCCCCAAAGAGAGAAAAACCCCTGCTGTTTTGGGGCCTTACAGCTACCCTCTGCTGTCAAGCTCCCTGCAGATACAAGCAAGTATCAGTACAGATTTCTAAGTTTTGCTGAAGTTGTTTGGTACAGTGTCCAGTCCTTTTGGGGGTTAACTTCTTGTTTTAAAGAAAGGTTGACCCCAAATTCTACCATCTGAAGTGAACCATTCCTCCTCCATCTAGCAGTAAGTTCGGGAAATGGTGGGACTGGTACAGTGAAAGCCCACTAACAGCCCCCTGCCCTCTGGGTTGGGTACCCTCATTTGGAACCATCAAAGGAGGGCTGATAGAAATGAGTCCTGAATCACATTCAGATATGCTGGATAGGTGGATTATAGTGTTAATAATAATGTCACTCATCCAGAGGAAAGAAACTGATGGATAGGCCATGTGTGTCTTGCCCCTTCTAGTGCATTTGCTTCCTTGCCAAAGCTTTGGGGAAAATAAACTGCTCTAAATGGAAATTTGCCTCAAAAACACCCAAATACTTACACAAGTGTGTTGCTGTGTGGCAAGACTGAATCAACCTGACTTGTCAGCTCTCTCCTTCAGAAACCAAGCTGCAGTCCAAGCTGTGAACAAATAATAGTGCGATGCTTCCACCTGATGCAATTTGAAGCAGCTCATGCAGGAATGTGCACCAGAGAGTCAGCTCAATAAATATCAAGACCTACTTTAGCAGCAGATTATGTATTTTCAGTATTTCCAGCTTACAAAGGCTCTGCTTCAGACCCTTTTTTCATATTTATCTCACTATGTGATTTAACCAGAGCTGAGAAAGCTGCTGATTCTGTACTATGAAACCTCAGCTACCAGGATGAGAAGCTGATGTGACTTATTGCCAGTGTCGTGCTCAGACTTACTGGCTGTTGTGTAGTCATGTTCAAAAGACACTAAGCCCATGTGAGAGTCTCGCCCCATCTGCAAACCAAGCTAACCCGAGTCCCTACCAGTTCTAGGAAAATGATGGTGGTTTGAAATAATGGGCTTGACATGGGTCCTTTTCTAGGGCATGTAAGCTTGAGTGAGTGGTTTTTTGTCCTACATGCACACAGGTGTTCTCTGTTCGTAAACCATGCAGCAACAGTAGATCCCATAGATCCCATTTATGTCCTTTTTATAAGCTTGCAACCTTGAAGGGTACAAAGTTGCTTCACTGACAGGAAATAGAGTTTTGAGCTGTGCTTGGAGAGGAATCCTGCCTTTTCCTTGGGGGTGTTAGAGTTGCCCAGTATCTGGGGCTTTTTGACTGTTGGGTCTGCAGGAGCTGTGGGAAGGATCAGTGGGTGGATGTTTGCAGGTGTCTCCTTGTTACCATCCTAATGTGAAGGGAGTTGCTGAAAAGTGTATGCTCCCCATGGGGACACCCCTTACAGGTGCTGAGATCCACCTTCAGACCCATCAGCGGGCACAGAAAAAGGGTCTATTTTCACGTGTGTCAAAATTAGGGATAGGAAAATAGTATTTATTTCTATAGTCAGTGTAGGTGCTTTCTGGCTTTCTTGGCAGACGTCCTCTTTCCACTATCCTCCTGATCCATTTTGTCCTCTCCTGCCTCCTGTGCACCCCACTCATCCTCCCACTCTCCCCCCTGCCCCTGACGAATTATTCTGTCTCACAGGAGCTGGGGCTGGCAGGATCCTCTGCGGCTGGAGGAATTTGCCTCAGCAGCTGCACGAGGGCCAGGGTTGGTGCAATTTGGGTGTGTCTTCTAGGAACCTGACTCACTGCAGGGGGGGCACGGGGGACAACCACAGACCTCCTGTAGAGCCAAACTGCTCTAGTTTAAGCCTCTTCCCACCTCTTTGTCATCCTCTTTTGGGTTTTAGGAGTCAGAGAGGAGGAAGGACTCTCCAAAAGGGACCAGGGCTGCAGATGGATGCCGTTATGCCTCAGCATGGCACTTAACCACCTGTTCTGCTTGGGAAAGCCAGTGTGGATATTTTTCTCTGCCCAGTCATCTCAGTGATGTCACTTTGGCATGACTCAGGAGTGACTGACTTTACCTGAAATAAAGATGCCTTGCAAGAATTCATCCCTCTTCCAGGACTCGCTGGAGATCTTTGGATGCAGTCCCAGCTGTGATTCCCTTTGGAGCCTTTGTGGGTTTCTTTCACCTCAGAGCACATGTTGACTTTGAGAAGCAGAGTTCTACATCCCAGGCCAAATTCTGCTCCTGTGTAGGGCGTGTGGGCCAACTTATTTAGTTTCCTGCATGCCACAGCCAAGTTTTCCATTTTGTATTGAGTTCACATGTCAGATGGGGATTAAAAGGCACTGTCATGAGCATTTGCTCCAATTTTCTGTGCTTAACATACACCCTAGTGTTTCCTCTAGTATTTCTGCTCCAAGTCTGTAGTCTGTGGCTGGTGGAGGACACAGGTCTGTATCCAAGATCTGAGGTGGAGACCTGTTTCTGTGACTGGATATTGGCAGCGAATTATCGTAAAAGCTTTCCAGGGTGTGGAAAGGCTTCCAAGGCTTTTAAATTGCTGACTGTCTTGCTGCTTTCACTGCAAAATCTTCTGTTTCTGCAAGATAGGGATGCCAAAACACGGCAGAGGAAGAAGTTACTTGACACAAGGAGCCACATCAGACTATGAACAGAGGAATGACCTGGTTGTAGGCTCTGAGACCCAGGACCTTGCTGGAGAGAAATGCTGGTGCAGGGTCAGCCCCTAAATCCAGTCCTGTTCATGAAAAGCCCTCTGCTCCCCAGTGAAGCATCTTTCTTACTGCTGCCCTCCAAGGTTCCCTTCAAGGTGTCTGTTGTTGTGCAAAGGTCTCCCTGGGACTCAAATATGTCCCATGACCACTGAGCTCTTAACATTTAATTATTGTAATACAGAAGTTTTTGTGAAGGAAAATAAAAAGGAAAACAGTACCTAAAAGATTCTGTTTCAGTCCCATAAAGTGTCACTAGTGGTGACAGAAAAGTCAGTACTCACAGCCATTTCTTCTCCTTATAAAAGAGTAATTTACAGCAAATGAACTGGTATCTTCTCACCCTTGGCACATACACTATGACTTGGCTGGGCATCTTCCCAGTCCACTTTTACCAATATTAATGTTGCCCATGGAGTGGAGTAAGAGTTAATCCTGCTGCAAACAATTTAAATGACAAATGTTTAAACATCTGAAACTGGCTTGAAATGAAAAAACTAACAGGAGAAACAGCAGTCACTGGCTGTGACTTTACAACCCGAAACCCTAGTGAGCTTGGGCACAGCAGTAGAGAAATGTCCCCTTCCTTTCAGGCAGTGTTGCAACTTTATGTGAAGATTTGTCTGCAGCTGGGAAACTAATTGAAGCATGAGAGAAAATGAAAAGCTAAATTTCTTCTCTCTGTCCGTGGAAGGAGAGGAGGGCAGGTGTGGCTGAGTTCTGTTGATGCTAAAGCCAAACATTTTGTTGATGCTAGAGCCGAGCAAATGGCAAGTGATCAGTTCAGCTCCTTGCTCCATTATTTGCATTTGTGGCTTAATTTGAATACAAAAATTGGATACCCGCAGGCAGAAAAAAAAAAATAAATCTATGGTGTAGTTCCTGCAGCTACTTGAATTCTTGTACTTAGCTAATGCTTAACAAAAATGTGTTATGACACTGGAAGTACCTGGAGTGGTGGGAAGGGGGATCCCTGACGGTCTTTGTTCCTGTTTGAGGGCGATTATCAATCCTTGCTCACTGGCCAAGCTGCAGTACAATGATGCTGCTTCTCATGCCTGCCTGAGAGTCTGGAGCCTGCTGAGGACTGACATGGCTTGGCATGCTCTGTTTTCAGTGAGCCCTTGGTCCAGAGCTGGCCTCTGATCCAAGTCAGGCTGCAAAGAGCCCCAGACCAGGACATGTGACTGATATGATGGGGCAGCGCTGGTGGGACAAGACTGTATTATGTAACCTACTCTGGAATGATTTCCAGAAACATGGAAAATACTGTAGAGGAAGGAAAATGTAATTAATTATAGTGCTAAGAGTACATGAAGGAGGCTTCAGCTAATGGAGAACCTGGTCATGTCCAGTGTACCGCACAGAGGAGATCTAAAGAAGTAGCTTATTTTGCCAGCCCTGTTTCTGCACACTAGTTTGACTTTAAGTAATTACACTTCACCTAATTGTGTCTTTCTGGATAGTTGATGTGAAAATTAATTTATGGCATATGTTGCTGCCTTTGCTGAGCTTTTTATGCTGAGTATGTCCCCTCATTTTTATCTTCTGATATTCAGCCTCCAAGGCCCCCTGCTCTTGCCTGAATAACATGCTAACCTTGGACATCAGGTACTTGTTCTTTTACCCCAAGATCCCAAATTACCTCTAGTGAATGCTGGTATTATTTTAGATCCTCTGAGTCCACTATAAATTATTTTCTGGACTTGGAAACATGAGGCTTCCTGCAGATTTGGCCCCAAGCTTCTCCTCCCCTATTTTTGACCAGAACACCAGAAATGCTCCAGCACTTTCTCCATTCATTAGCTGTCTGGGTAAAAAAGGTCCCTAGACCTTCCCAGCAGCCAGCTGTAAAATGCCCCAGCCAGAACCAGTTTGTAGAGATTTAGCAAGACTTTTGAAACACTTAGAATCTGGTGGTCCAAGCTTGCCTCTCAGTGATAAGGAGACTCATGCAAGTAGGAATCTTTAAGGATGTGCCCAGTGAAGAAGGAGCAGACCTTTTAAGGTGGATAATTTGAAATCTGGAGAGAATTTTAAAAGGATATTTAAATGCTTAATAATGACAAAATGGCTTAAAAAATTGCCTGGGGAGCAGCTTCCCATCCTACTGCTGAAGTGTTGTTTAGAAAGGAAGGTCAAATAGCAAACTGCTGAGGACACACACACACACTTAGCCAAAAATCATGTTATCTTTCAGGATGGTGTATCTGTTTCGCTCAGGTCAAACAGTCATCTCTGTTGTTGTCTGTCTTAGATGTGAACATTTTTAGAAACTAAAGCTATGACAAGTATTCAAAACACATCAAAGAGACTCCAAACTGTCTCAAACCTGATTTCAGGGCAGACATCAGAAACTATTATGACATTTTAATCCTTTGCTTGATATGTGTCATACTTTAAAAACTTTTCCTGAAAGCAGAAGGGCTGGAAGCTTCACTTTAAAAGAAGGGGAAATTTTCATCTAATGCAGTCTCCAAACAGACTTTGAATAAAAATTGAGAGCTTCAGTTTTGGAGCTCAGAAGTTGAAACAAAAGAAGTGTTTCTTCAGGTATAACCAGGTTAAGCATGGTGGCTATGACCTTGCCAGGTGTTCTGTGTTCTGTCTTTCTTGGTATTCACTATCTAGACAGGTTTCTTTCTGAAATGTGGTTAAATCAGGTAGGAACTCCTCAATTTGCTCTTGTTTAGCCAGAGATTTAAGAAAGTGTACAGTAAGTCATTCTGGACTTCAAATAAGCCTTTTAATTTCACCTTAGGCTTCCCAAGCAGATGGTGTGACAGGTATGTAGGTCCGTGGTAAGCAATGGCAGTCACACAGGTATTTCCAACTATTTTTGTAGCCCTTTTGTAGCTTTTTCACAGCATTATGAACCAATTTTCACCTTCCCCTCAAATATGCCCCAAGAATGAGACACTGATTTTGGACTTAGATGATTTCGATTGGATATTAGGAAGAAATTCACCACTATGGGGTGGTGAGGCACTGGAACACATCCACAGAAAATGTGGATGTCCCATTGCCACATGTGTTCAAGGCCAGGTTGGATGAGGCTTTGAGCATCCTGGTCAAATGGAAGGTGTCCCTGGCCATGGCAGGGAGGCTGGAACTAGATGGTCTTTAAGATCCCTTCCAACTCAAATTGTTTTATGTTTCTATGCTTCAAATCACATGCAGCCTGTTGTTGCATTCACCATAAATACAAACCAATGTCCCTCACAAACTTCCCAGAAGGTCAGGAGCTGCACTGTCATCTCACACAAGCCCCCAGACATATTTATGTGTCAGTGAGGCTGCACCGCTTAACCCAAGCTGGTAAATGTAAAATGACCTCCTGTGAGTCCTACCATGTGCATTCCTTCACAATGTTACCATTTCCCTTGATGAAGTGCTTTGCCAGAAGGTGAGGTACTTGTCCACCTGCAAATGCAGGGGCTGAAAAAGCTCTTTGGTGGGGAAGAGGGGAAGAGTCTGCTGATGGAAGACTTGGTGGTATAATTATAATTTTTTTCTGCTTTTTACAGGCAAGAGCAGCTGACAAACCCATCCTGTCTGTGCTTTTTGTACGGCATTGCAAAATTAGAAAGTTGTTTTTCAATGAACATGAAATTGCTGAAGAACAGAAACAGAAGTGCCATAAATAGCGCTGGGCTCTTGGAAGCCACAAAGAGGAGACTGTTCTGCTGGGAGACGCCAGGGCTGGGAACACGGGTTTCCTTTGTTCGTACGTCATTATGCAGCAGCTGGACTACGCTGAGCACGGCTCCCAGATTTGCTTGTGCCGTTAACTCAGCACAAAGGGGAAACTGTGACTGTCCGTGAGTCGTGGCCAAGAGAGTCCTAAGTCCTTCAGCCCACCTGGCTCGGAGGGGCATTGGTCTTCTAAGGGTATGTGCGGTAGGGTAAAGAACAGGTCTGCACGTAAAATTCGCTCAAATTATTTGAGAGAAATGCTTCTGTTTTGTCTCAGGAGGGATAAAGAAATCCCAGTTGTTTCTCTTAGGAGATACAGCTTGGTCTCCAATGTTCTTGTCACCACTGTCAGTGGGGTTTGCATTGGGGATGGTGGCAGTTGATGTGAGCAGTCACCTGTAGGTCCCCCATGCCTCCTGCAACCAGCATTTCAGTGCCCTGTTCGAGCCGTTTGGCTTAAAAGGCAGCTGAGGAAGCAACAGACACTGACGGGGTTAGTCCTGAACCTGGCTGAAACCTCTCCATGGATATACCTCAAGGGCAAATCATGGGAAACTTCAGTTGGAAGCAACTCCCCAAAGGTGTCACCTAGTAAGACATGACTGAACTGAGCCTGAACACAAGAGACAATTGTAGAAGCCTATTA